GCTCCCCCAGCACCGGGGCTGACCGGGGAGGTAGGCGGCGCACTCTCTCTGGCTCTGCGCTTTCTGTCTTTAGTCCGCCCAGCCTTTTCTGGTGTCAGGGTGGCTTGCAGAGTCTGTCCATCTTGCCCTTCTCGCGAATCTGTTTAAGGAGAAGGGGATGCAAGGCTGCATCCACAGACGCCTCCACACCCAAGACCTTCGTGATTAGGGTTCGGCATATGCAAGCATCAGCCTTGTGGGCTTACAGGAATGTGGGTACACTACGACCTTTACTTGTCTCTTTTACCCAATTTTGTCCTGGCACTAAAGATTGGAAAGAGTAGAGGGATAATGGAGATGGGAGTGAAAACCTAACCCTCAGTCAGGCCCACAGCCGTCCTTAATATACGTGAGCGACGATCAGGGTTTAATTTCTGTGTAGCAGAAATAAAATGCCAAGCAGAGGAGCTGAGTTTAATTACGAGCTAGACTTTCGGTATATATTATGTGTGTTTTAGAAAGAAATGGGTATAAACAGAACGAATGCACAGATAATTTGAATAGAATGCCCATGTAAACAAGTCCTATTGTGAGCAGCATCTTTTTAGTTTAAAAGAAAGTGAGTGATAAATTTGGGGTTTATGTCCGGTTTGCAGTCGTGCAGCACCTGTAGCGCAACCTACTCAGCACTATTGAAACAGCTGTAGTAAGTAGCCCTTAACAGGCCAAGAGGAAACTAGATCTTGTTCTAGAGGAAAGTTCACAATTTCAAACTAAAGGCATCCCAGGTAATTTGATGTCTTGAGAACAACAGCAGTGTTTCAGAGGACTCAAAGGTCGTTCGTGTTAGTGTCTTGTGACACCGAGGTTTTGACCTCTTGAATATTGAGTCAACCCGGCAGCACTGGTGTATTGTATTTGTGAGAGCCGTTTGTTGATTTTATTGTTGTCATTCTTCAGATCTGTCAAATTCAGCAGCTATGTCTTGTCAAAAAGCAGTCACTGAGTTCTGGTTTTTATTTTAACTACTAGTTTTATTTCCTTACTAGTTCGAATCAGCTATTCACTACTGAAGAACTAAAATAATGAAAAATGCCTTGTTACTGACTCAGGTTAGCCACTGAATCCCCCTATAAATTTTATTTAGCCTGATAAGTGATCAGCAGGCAGATGACATTTAGAAACTGAGAAAAGGCAATAATGCAGAATGCCTAGAGTACTCCCTCCAGGAGCCTCAGCAAGATAAAAAGAAAGGTGAGTATGGGGTATACCTTTTAGAGCATTTTCACCTTTAGTAATTCTTTAGAATAGGTTGAAAGAAACAAAAAAAAAGTCAAATAATAACATTTCATCTGGTACAGGTATAACCCTACAAAACATTTAAATATATTGTATATATATGAACTGTTTCAGATTAAAGGCGATTCTAAACGCTTATTTGGGGGCATCAGTACTTATCTTTTTCAGGGTTGCTTTCTGAATGGAAAATATATTAAAAGAACAAATAAGTTGCTTTTTTGCTTTATTCACAGGATTAAATATTATCAATCAATTTCTATGTTGTTGACAGTTGATAATTTTTATATTTTGCATTTAGAAGCATCAAGAAACCCAGTTTGAAGAGTCCCCAAATTATCAGTTAAATGACTACTGAGAAGAAAAGAACATTGATAATTTTTAAAAAATACCCACAGTATCATTATCCGAGTCCCACAATTTTCTTACTGCCGTTTAATATTCAGCCTGATCTTTTTACATTTGGTTTGACAGGATCCAGACAAGTGCCACACATTTCATCTGCTTAGTAAGGTGTTTTCTAAATCAGTAAGAAGCAATTATTCCTTATTTGATTCAGTGAAATAGATAGAAATTTTTTTCTAAAGAGATAGTTGGACTGTTGAAAAGCACTATTATAAATATGGAGAAATTAAAAGTCAATTCATTAAAAGGTCACCAACTGAGAGCCTACTGTAGAAATTGTTAATGTAAGTAAATCCTTAATATAGGAGCTTGAAGTAATTTAGAATGTAATTTGTTCTAGAAGGTCCAGTGAAAATTTTTAAATTATCTTGAAAAAACATCTTTTGTTTTGAAAGAAAACACAATAATAAGCATGCCATGGATTTGCCACCTATGGTCTATATATCTACTGAGCTCACTTTTAAAGCATTTTAATTGCTTTATTATATAAGTATAGTTAATACACACTAGTTAATTAAAAATAAAGTTAAAAAGATATATAAAAATCACCACAGGTTATAAATAACTTCTCAGTGTCTAAGCATACCTACGCAAGATATAATTCCATTCTAACAGTGTTTTGCTTTTAAGAAAACACTTAAAAAAAAAAAAAACACTTTGCCAGGTCTAAGGACATGTAGGAAAATATCAGATACTCTAGACTGAATATTAGAAATCTAAGCAATGGCAATCTATATGTGTACTTTATATGATAAAAGGCATAGATTTAAAATTGGTTTATACAGTTTATCCTACTACTTTGGGTTATAGTACTGTTCAGCGTTTAGAATAGTGACTAACTGCAAAAAAATGATCCTAAAACATTTTAGTGAAGGGACTGTGAATGACTAGCACTGTTGTCAGGAGGAAATTTGGTATAATTAAATATAATATTCCCATAACCAAGAAAAAAAAAGCAAACATATTATCCCCTTGGTTATTACAGAGAGAAAAAATAACACATATGGTATATTATTTGCATAATGCTGACCAGAAAAACATTCAATTTTCCCTAGATGGTTACCATAGTTACTAGAGCCGTTTATAACATCAAGAGAGGGAACTAGGTCACAGTATTGAAGGAGTTTGAATTATGCAACTGTGTTCCCTAAAAGCAGGGGAAAGGTTTAAAACTTAGGGAAAAGAGATTCATGTAAAACATTCAAAAATTGAAATTCTGGTCTAATTTTCCAGTGAAACTTAAAAATTTGTCCAAAATTAAATAGTTGATACAGTAAATACAACCTACACAAATAATATAATAGCTAGATTGATAAATGTGATTTTTTAAAAAAAGATTCCAGTGCATTCTTTCCTTACAGATAGCCTTTGATCCTAGAGGGCTGTCTTACCTTAAATGTTTTACAGATAACCAGTAAAAACAATTACCTGAAATCTGTGAGTAACTGAAACTTTGACCTCTTACCTTTTTGAAAGGTTTTGAGATAAAACTTAATACTTGCCTGTTTTAGATGCTACTCTTCCTTTGTTGTAGCGTGGCTTTTCT